TATCTATCTATTTAATAATATATAAAAATTATATATATATATATATTTTACTAAAATTGTTATTCGCATATTATTACTCTCTTGATTAGTAACACATTATTCCCAATTTTATTTGACTAAGTTTCAACATTTGCATCAAAAATATATTTTCAAAACTAATTTTATTATTAATGTCATATGAGTTTGAGTTAAAAGAGTTTAATTTTTTTAAATAAAATTTTGAGTTTAAGTTTTTTTAATAAAAAAAATAGATACTAAGAGAGTTTCTTCTCATGTGGATCTAATGAGACTCGATTCTGATTAACTAAAATTTAATATAATTATCAAATATCAAAAAATTAATAAAAAACACTAATTTTATTAATTTTTGTAAATGTTAATGATTTCACACGTTTAAAAAGGCTTCATGCGGTTAATGGTTCTCTAAAATTTTTTTCTCATTTGAACAGTCATCATGTTTTTGAGTAACTTTTAAGTTTCAAAACTAATTATCGTTTAAAGAATCTTAATCAACTACCCTTAGACCAAAGAGAATTTATTGCCGAGCTAAACACGTTACCATTAGTTATTCTCTTTTTCAAAAGGAAGAAAATTAAGCCTTAATCAAAGTTTCCCTTTTTATTAGCGGAAATTTTTTAGTTGAAAAGTAACTAACACGTCCTCCTCTGCTTCTTTCCACTTGTCTCCTGTGAATTTTTCCATTGAACTTTTTCCTATAACCAAACGTCTCATTTCAGAATTGAACTCCAGTCTCTGGAAACTTATTAGTGAGAAAGGTGAGTCTTTTATGCCAAGTTATTCAATATATCCAATCTGGGTCCTAGTAAAAATCGAGTCTTCACCGAGAAAAAGGTAGGATCTGTTAAATATCTCCCAAATTTGGTCTCACTCTTACTAGATTTTTCCATTTTTAAATCCTAAGATTCTCGTAGAATTTATCAACCTGGGTCCTTTTATTGGTGGGTTTAGTGTTATCTGATCTGGGTGGATAGTGGGTACTTCTATTTGATTGAGGGCCACTGTGAAGATGAGAGGAAAGGTGGGGTTGTTAGTTTGTTTTTCGGTTCTGTTGTGGGGATCTTGTTTGGGGAGGTTTGTGGTGGAGAAGAACAGCTTGAAAGTGACTTCTCCAGAATCAATTAAGGGTGCTTATGAATGTGCTATTGGAAATTTTGGAGTTCCTCAATATGGAGGAACATTGGTTGGTACTGTTTTTTATCCCAAATCCAATCAGGAGGGGTGCAAGAGTTTTGATGACTTCGACATCTCCTTCAAATCAAAGCCCGGAATATTCCCCACCTTTCTCCTTGTGGATCGAGGAGGTGAGTTTGTCCCTGTTAATTCATTTTCATGTTGTTGAGTACTTTTAATTTAAATTTTAGTCCTTTTTCTCTCGCTTTCTTCTCTTTCCTATTTTATGCATTCTGTTTTTGGTTTTTGGTGATTGAAATTCCTCTTTTTGGTGCCTTGTATTGGTTTCCTGATCACGAATTTGGTTGTTGTTCCAAATTTAGGACTTGGCTAAAAGAGATCCAGTGTTGTTTATTTATGCTCTAATTTTGGAAGCAGATGATTTGGGTGGGTTGTGACTTGAGAATGGTTTTTCCTTGACTAGGGGGACACTGTTTCTCTCCTTTTTCCATTTTTGGTTCTTTGAGGAAAAGTTGACTTTAATTATGCTATGGTTTTGTAAAAACTGATTCGTAAATTTCTTGTTTAACCTCGGAGGTTTCGAGTTCATGTGATTATGCCAGGTTATGGCAGCTGGATTTTTACTTGAGGCCATATTCCTTTTAATTTTATATTTTCAAGAGAACGTTATTTTGGTACACTCTGCAAGATTGCTTTGCAACTTCAAAGTTGGCATTCCATAAAACTTGATATTGCCTTCTCTGCTGCTATAAACTTGGGAGTTGAGACTTGGGTTTGTACATCGGAATTATTAGAATTCCCTGGTATTACTTACTTTATTTCAGTTGTATTATACTGAACTGGCTTCCAATTTAGGTTCTTATCCTCTATAAAATTGCTTTTCTTGCAGATTGTTTCTTCACCTTGAAGGCTTGGAATGCACAGAGAGCCGGTGCTGCAGCTATTCTTGTTGCTGACAACAGGGATGAGCCATTGATTACCATGGACACCCCTGAAGAAGAGAATGCTGATGCTGATTACCTAGACAAAATCACTATTCCTTCAGCGCTTGTTAGCAAGTCACTGGGTGACAGTATTAAGAAGGCCCTTTCTGGTGGGGATATGGTAAACGTGAATCTTGATTGGAGAGAGGCTCTTCCACATCCTGATGACAGGGTTGAGTATGAGTTCTGGACTAATACCAATGATGAGTGTGGTCCAAAGTGTGACAGCCAGATAGAATTTGTCAAGCACTTCAAAGGGGCAGCTCAGATTCTTGAGCAGAAAGGATACACTCAATTCACCCCACACTACATAACTTGGTACTGCCCAGAAGTATTTATTCTAAGCAAACAGTGCAAGTCCCAATGCATCAACCATGGAAGGTACTGTGCACCTGATCCTGAGCAGGATTTCAATATAGGATATGATGGGAAGGATGTTGTGGTTCAAAATCTTCGCCAGGCATGCTTTTTCAAAGTTGCCAATGAAAGTGGAAAGCCATGGCTTTGGTGGGACTATGTAACTGATTTTTCCATTCGCTGTCCTATGAAAGATAAGAAGTATAACAAGGATTGTGCAGATAAGGTTATCGGATCTCTCGGTAAGTTAAGGCTTTATATATTATTGATGTTCAAATGTAATGTGCATATGTTTCATCTATATATGCACTTGATCTTGTGGTCCAACAGTAAAGGTCTTCTCCCTCCAATTATCAATAAATAATTAAGTTTCATCTATATATTCAAATAGTCATGAGAGACTAGACATGATATAAGATGGCCCCATCACAATTGAGGCTATATAAAATACTGCCATAGTTTTAGTACTGTGTAGGCTTAAGATCTTTTTCACGTAATTGTCATCGAAATGGGAAGGAAGCCCATTAGATTGCTTCCTTTCAATTTAAACACATAATGGGCATTTGTTTCATCTGGTTTTGCTCTAATTGAAGCTATAAAACTTTCTTTTAATCTGATCATTTTGTATTCAGTAAACCCATATTATTTATATCTGCAAGGAAAGGAATGCTTACATGTAGCCTTGTGATATGGGAACTAGGAGGCACAATAATTTTATTTGCAGTTTAAATGTTGATCGGTAAACTGCATTATGGATGGGAACAAGCTTACATATGAATTTGAAAAATATGGAGAATGTGTCAATATATATTTTTTCAAAATCTTTGAATGTTTGAAGGTGTTGACCTCAAGAAGATAGACCAGTGTATTGGAGACACTGATGCTGATGTGGACAACCCAGTGCTTAAAGCAGAACAAGATGCACAGGTTGGGCAGTTTATTGCTTCAAATTTTATGGGACTCCATCTCATCCATAGCTTTTCATTGTGCTTGATGTTTATGCTATAGTATCATTTCAGATTGGCAAAGGCTCCCGTGGAGATGTCACTATATTGCCAACGCTTGTAATAAATAACAGACAGTATAGAGGTTTGAATTAGAATTCAAAAACATTGCTAGCCAATTATTATATCAATTGCTTATCTAATCTAAGCTTTTGCTGATTTCAGGGAGGTTGGACAAAGGAGCAGTTCTAAAGGCTATTTGTTCAGGTTTTCAAGAGACCACAGAGCCACCAATTTGTTTAACCGAAGGTTATTATCTAACTTGCTGCTTTAATGTTTTTTGTCATTTTTTCACTACTTTTATTTTCTGTTGTTTTCAAAACATGACAATTTTCCGCTATTCACCAACTTATTGCACCATCAGAGACTCAAAGCACTTTGTTTTTCCATCATTTCCTTGTTCACCACGCAACTGAGTTACTTAAATATCCTCAAGTGGAAAATTACTGGCGGACCATCCATCTTTTCCTTTAGTCAACTCATTCTTTCTTGAATCTTTTGTCATAGTTTTTTATGGGATTCAATAAAAACTAAAGCGACTCTCTTTAGAAATGTTTTCTTTTCCTATCAGTATCTTTTGGGGATAATGAACTTGTACTTATGTGGGATACCATAAAGGAGATGGCATTCATTATTTCTTTTATTTATTTATTTTTATTCTTCTTTGCAGACATAGAAACTAATGAGTGTCTAGAAAACAGTGGTGGATGTTGGCAGGATGAGGTTGCTAACATTACTGCATGCAGGGTATGTTATTTAGAGGAAAGTCAATCAATCATTTCCACCTTAAATATGCTTTCTGCTTATAGACATGGTTTTCTTGTAGGATACTTTCCGTGGAAGAGTTTGTGAATGCCCTATAGTAAACGGTGTAAAATTTTCTGGTGATGGTTATACACATTGTGAAGGTAAATGGTTTTCTTAGAAATCCTTTTTTCTTTTTTTTATCACTTTTTAGTCTTTACTTGCTTTAGACTAATGCATCCGCCTTTTGTTTTTAACAGCTTCAGGAGGATTGCATTGTGAAATTGAAAATGGAGGATGCTGGAAGAAAACCCAAGAAGGAAGAACCTACTCTGCTTGCATTGTGAGTAGCTTAACTTTCAAGTGCTCTCTCTTTCTCTCTTTCATATTCTTATTCCTAATATATATGGCCCT